TGCCCAACCTGCCCTCCTTTTGAGGGTTTCAGGATTTCAGCCCGTTACTTCGGGTTACGGTTCAGCCTAAACCCTAAACCCGAAACCCTAACCAGGAGGTTATGCCCTCCACCGTCCCTGTGCAAGGCATGATGAAGAGATGCCCCCTGACTTCTTGAGGCCAGACATATCTGCTATCCAGAGCAGACCTTCGACGCTGATCTGCCCCACCGCTTGCTTTGAGTGGCATGTTCAGCGAGGCAGACAAGCCCTACAACAACACTTTGAGGCCCCAATCGAATTAGAGATACATTTGAAGTGAAGGGGGGTTGGTTGCGTTCTTTTTTGTACATCTCTGGCTTTGGGTCTAAAACTAATCTGTTGGGGTTTTAAGCTCTAAGAGTTTCGCTTGGGTGGGGTGGGGAGGGGTGTGGGGTGGGGGGAGTGGTGGGGGCGCGGGGGGGGGGGGAGGGGGGGTTCACAACCAGGACCCCCATTTGACAACCCGCAGGCCTACTTGCAACCAGATGCAGAAGCCTCTTACCAAGCCTATGAAATCAGAATGTGAAAACTGGAAGCCCCTAGCAACATCCTTTTGAGCAACCATGCAGGTTTGAAAATGAAGTTGGTTGATGACCCCCAAAGTAGTTTCGTCTTACATCTATGATCTGTCTTTTAGGTGGCAAACACGCGAAACACCGAGAGGGTCCTGACTTTTGGGCTATGACAACAAGCGAATGTATTTACAGTACCCACAGCCCCCTACAAACGCGCGTCCTAGTACTAGGAGTAGGAGTAGTAGTAGTAGTAGTAGTAGTAGTAGTAGTAGTAGTAGTAGTAGTAGTAGTAGTAGTAGTAGTAGTAGTAGTAGTAGTAGTAGTAGAGTAGTAGTAGTAGTAGTAGTAGTAGTAGTAGTAGTAGTAGTAGTAGTAGTAGTAGTAGTAGTAGTAGTAGTAGTAGTAGTAGTAGTAGTAGTAGTAGTAGTAGTAGTAGTAGTAGTAGTAGTAGTAGTAGTAGTAGTAGTAGTAGTAGTAGTAGTAGTAGTAGTAGTAGTAGTAGTAGTAGTAGTAGTAGTAGTAGTAGTAGTAGTAGTAGTAGTAGTAGTAGTAGTAGTAGTAGTAGTAGTAGTAGTAGTAGTAGTAGTAATAGTAGTAGTAGTAGTAGTAGTAGTAGTAGTAGTAGTAGTAGTTAGTAGTAGTAGTCGTAGTAGTAGTAGTAGTAGTAGTAGTAGTAGTAGTAGTAGTAGTAGTAGTAGTAGTAGTAGTAGTAGTAGTAGTAATAGGAGTAGTAGTAGCAGTAGTAGTAGTGGTAGTAGAAGGAGGAGGTAGGAGGAGGAGGAGGAGGAGGAGGAGGAGGAGCAGCAGCAGCAGTGGCCAGGTTTTTCTCGACCAGCTTTCGGCTAAATTCACTGTCACGCGTCTGAAAATGCTATTTCCGGAGCTTTCAGCCGTTCTTGCAATGTCTAGGCGGTTGACCTAAGTAGCGATTTACTGGCAAAAGTACATTGAACCCCCCCACCCCCACCCCGGCCCCCCCCCACCCACCTTTCAAGGTTCAGAGCTTAGGGTCCTGAACCCCTAATCCCAAGACTTAGTGGTCCTGCGTAGGGAATGAGGGAATTAGGTACATTCTATCCCCAACGTATAGTCTTTAGCGGACTAGAAAGAGTACCCTCATTCCCTCACCAAGAACCAGTAGGCCACCGCTGCTGTTCAATATCCAGGGAAGACACCGCCAGAAGTCCGCCCAGAATCCTAAACCCAGATATGTTGGAGATGACATCCCTAGTCCGTCCTGACACCCTAAACCCTGAACCCTGAACCCTGAACCCTAAACCCTAAACCCTAAACCCTAAACCCTAAACCCTAAACCCTAAACCCTAAACCCTAAACCCTAAACCCTAAACCCTAAACCCTAAACTAAACCCTAACCCTCAAGTCGCAAAGCCCGCACCTTCGGCCGGTTGTCGTAGAAATCGGCCAAGGGGTCTGCCTCGTCCTCAAAAGACAGGCGTTTCGGGTTTAGGGTTTGGGGGGTTCGGGTTTCGGGTTTCGGGTTTAGGGTTTGGGGTTTTAGGGTTTGTAGGGTTTATAGGGTTTAGGGTTTAGGGTTAGGGCGTAGGGTTTAGGGTTTGGGGTTTTAGGGTTTAAACCCGACGCCCTGCGAAGCAAGGGTCAAGGGGTGTAGAGATTGGGGCTTGCACCTGAGAGTGTGAGGTGTCCTTGAACCCTAAACCCTAAATCCTAAACCCTAAACCCTGAACCCTGAACCCTAAGCCCTAAACCTAACCCTAAACCCTAAACCCTAAACCCCCTCAACCCTAAACCCAGAGCAACGTAGGAATTCAAAGGGCGGTCTTTTTTGGTCAAAGCGCTTCAATCACCCTAAACCCTAAGCCCGAAACCCTAAACCCTAAGCCCGGAACCCTAAACTCCCCCCAAGAAAGTGACCGACCACGATGAATCTCTGACTGTCTGATGCACCTCCTGGGCCCTTCAGGGGGTTTAGGGTTTAGGGTTTAGGGTTTAGGGTTTAGGGTTTAGGGTTTAGGGTTTAGGGTTTAGGGTTTAGGGTTTAGGGTTTAGGGTTTAGGGTTTAGGGTTTAGGGTTTGGAGGGTTTGGGGTTTAGGGTGTAGAGGGCCTAGAGCTCAGCAGTTCTCAGAACCCTGCATTGTCAGTGTTCAAAAGGTTACTTAGGCTTTAGGTTCAGGGTTTAGGGCGTGCGAGTGGGCGCAGGCAGAGGTGGGGGTAGCAAAGGCAGCACAGTGGGCTCGCTCCAATTCAGGGCTGCCGATGAATCCTAACCGTGCTAAACCCTAAACCCTAAACCCTAAACCCTAAACCCTAAACCCTAAACCCTAAACCCTAAACCCTAAACCCTAAACCCTAAACCCTAAACCCTAAACCCTAAACCCTAAACCCTAAACCCAAATACGAAGGCCTAACCTGTCAGTCATGATACGTTACGCCGACGTATTCCTCGAGGGTTTGGGGTTTGGGGTTACGGGTTAGGCCAGGAATCCCACAACCATATACAAACACGCGTTCCAAAATGCGCCTAACCCTTAACCCCCAACCCTAAACCCACAAACCCTTAACCCTAAACCCTGAACCCTAAACCCTAAACCTCCCAACCCAAAACCCCAAACCCTAAACCCTGAACCCTAAACCCTAAACCCCCAAACCCTAAACCTCTCTTTCATATGTATACGGCAATTGTCAAAAGTTGGCCGGCAATTGTCAAAAGTTGGCCGGCAAGTGTTTTTGTGCAACTGCCGGCCAACTTTCGACACCTTTACAATTGCCGGCCAACTTTTGACAATTGCCGGCCAACTTTTTGACAATTTCACGGGCCGGAACTGTCGAAAGTTGGCCGGCAATTGTCAGAAGTTGGCCGGCAATTGTCAAAACTTGGCCGGCAAGTGTCAAGCGGCAATTGTCAAAACTTGCCGGCAATTGTCAAAACTTGGCCGGCAATTGTCAAAACTTTGACAATTGCCGGCAATTGTATAAAAATCCCCCTCCTTCAGGGCCCGTGTTTAGGGTTTCAGGGCTCAGGGCCTGTGTTTAGGGGTTTCAGGGCCCAGCGTTTAGGGTTTCAAGGCCTCAGGGCCTGTGTTTAGGGGTTCAGGCCCAGCGTTTAGGGTTTCAAGGCCTCAGGGCTTGTGTTTAGGGTTTCAGGGCCCAGCGTTTAGGGTGGCCTCAGGGCCTGTTTTTAGGGTTTCGGGGCCCAGCGTTTAGGGTTTCAAGGCCTCAGGGCCTGTGTTTAGGGTTTCAGGGCCCAGCGTTTAGGGTTTCAAGGCCTCAGGGCTTGTGTTTAGGGTTTCAGGGTTTCAAGGCCTCAGGGCCTGTTTTTAGGGTTTCGGGGCCCAGCGTTTAGGGTTTCCGGGTGTCAGGGCCTGTGTTTAGGGTTTCAGGGCCTCAGAGCCTGTGTTTAGCCCAGCGCTTGGGGTTTCAAGGCCTCAGAGCCTGTGTTTAGGGTGTCAGGGCCCAGCGTTTAGGGTTTCAAGGCCTCAGGGCCTGTTTTTAGGGTGCCAGACCCTCAAGGCCTGGGGTCTAGGGTTTCAGGGCAAGGCGGGCCCAGTGTTTAGGGGCTTTTGGGCCTGTGTTTAGGGTTTCAGGGCCTAGCATTTCGGGTTGATTTAGGGTTCCAGGCCTCAGGAGGGTTAGGGAGGGTTTACCACGCACGACGGTTTTGCTTAGTGGTGCGTTTGGGGCCTAATTAAAAGAAACTGAAAACTAAAATATGTTCCTAATGTTATGGGATCCGAAGGGTGGGTGGGTAGATTTTCAGTACCAGAGTAGCGAGCTTGACTAGTGAAAGCTTTGCTGAACCCTAAACCCCAAACCCTAAACCCCCAAACCCTAAACCCTAAAACCGCCAAACCCTGAACCCTAAACCCTAACCCCCAAACCCCCCTGAACCCTAAACCCTAAACCCCAAACCCTAAACCCTAAACCCTAAACCCTAAACCCCAAACCCTAAACCCCAAACCCTAAACCCTAAACCCTAAACCCCCCAAACCCTAAACCCTAGACCCCCAAAACCCTAGACCCTAAACCCCAAACCCCAGACCTAAACCCCAAACCCCAAACCCTAAACCCCCAAACCCTAAACCCTAAACCCCCAAACCCTAAACCCCAAACCCCAGACCTAAACCCCAAACCCTAAACTGCAAAAGCAGGCGCGGGCTGAAGAGGACTTATGAACCGTTAACAACCACACTAGCACACAGACCTTTTGAACTGCTGTCACTGGTCTGAGCTTGGCTGGGAAAGGGGCTGCGAATGCAGCACTGTCATCTTCCTGCATGCACACATGCAAGGCTGTCTTGAATAGGCTTCTACTCTTGACACCCCTCCACAGGAGGAACTGGCCAGGTACCTTGGCCTGTTGCTACTGGACCTGCCTATTCATGCTGTCTCACTCCCAGCTTCGGCTCACTGTTCCCAGGAGTCACGCAGTTGCCAGCCCGTCTCACGTAGAGGGTCACTGGCCTTCAACCTAGGTCGAGATCCACTCAGACCTTCCAGTTGGCGATCCACTTCGAAGTCTCTTCACGAGTCCGAAGATTCTCATACTGAATTCGGCATTGGGCTCGATGACGATGGATGTAGAGCACATACCTCAGCTGCTTGGTGCTTGGCCGGTCCGACAGCGATTCATCTCCACCATCGAACTTGTGCAGAAGTCGCTCCATCAGGTCTTGCTTCAACCCTGTCACCTGGAGCCCTTCCACTCGTAGGCCACTCTTGAGTTCTTCCACCGTGAGCAGGCTCAAGGTATCTCTCACCACTCTGACTCGATCGTCGACACCAGTTCTGGCGTCACCACGGAAACTCATCCTGTCACTGTCACTCTGTCCAGCAGGGGATCTCAGCACGGAGGTTCCCTCGGGGACAGATGGCATCCGTGTTGTAGGAACCTCTGCACTGTGTTGAGCCTCCTCAGCACCGCTGCCACGAGGAGTGTCACGACGACTGAGTGCCATGGCTGCACTGGACTGCGCTACACTGGGCCTATTGCCCCTTCCACACAACCAGTGCCAACCTTTCAAAAGCACTTCAACTCCCTTGTAGCTGGCAAACAGCAACCCAACCAAGGCCAACAGGTGAACCAACCCTAAGTAAAGGTTCAACCACCAGACCTCTTCACTCTGAACTGGAGCTGCTTGGACTTTCTCCAAACAGCAGCTGACCACAGCTGCCACGATGCCCCTTTCCAAGGGCAGCTGCTTCATCAGCGAGTCCATTCTGGCTGCTTCTAAAGCCTTCGTGCCAAGATCCGAGATGTTCATGAGCGTATCCACTTTGCCTATGGAAAGTTCTTTGTTTCGAACTGCTTGCTGTATCCACATCTCCTTCAGGGATAAGTGCTTGACTTTTCCACACCCTACCCTCTGTGCCATCGACCTGGCGGCCGAGCTATCGCTCAGCACTCGGTGCTCGACCTTCCAACCAAAGTGTCGGAGGATCTCTGTTGTAAGCTTTCCTTCTGCTGCTGTCTTGACCATGGCATAGAACTCGGCCTCGCCCGACGATAGGGCCACGAGACTTTGTCGACCACAGCTCGTGTCTAGGAGGTGCTTCCCAAACCTCTGATACGTGGAACTCATAGACCTTCTGGTTCTGCGATCTGTTGCCCAGTCTGAGTCTGAAAAGGACTCTAGCTGCGCAGGTGCTTCTTGCAATTCGAAGTGCCATTTCTCGACGGGGTACTTGGCAATGTACTTTCCGACGCGCTTCAGCCTTAGCCAATGAATCTCCAAGGGCTTGCTCATCCCTTCAGCCAGTTCACTTGCTGCGTACTGCAACGAGGGACGGTCGACTGCCATGTAAAGGATGGTGCCAGTCACTCGTCTGAAGACCTCGGCCCTCTCACGGCTGAGCTCCTTCTCCACTTCTCTGTTTCCCACGCCTGTGGCCTTCGAAGCAGGAGTGTCAACTCCTTTGCACCCTTTTAGCTCGAGTTCCTCGATGACTTGTGGGGCAAACTTGGGGTCGCATTCCCAGGTAAATCCTGAGCCTGTCCACTTGATCAGGCGCCCAAGATGGCGTCCTTCTGAGACTTCCCCTCCATGAGCTGGGTCACCGATTCTCGGTAGCACTTTCACCTCGTAGTTCTCCTCCATGATCTTGTCCAGCATGTCGAGAGCTTCTCTTTCTCCACTCGCCAGGAAATCGTCACCGTGGCACGACAAGCATAGATCATGCTCTTTCAAGTAGTAGGTGTTGGGGCACAACAGCAGCTCGTCGAAGTTGTGTCTTGTTTTCACCTCACGGATCTTCACTCCCCATTGCCTAGAGGCTTCCCGGGTTCCGTTCATCGCCTTGTGCAACTCCCAGATGATGTTGGGAGTTCCTTCTGACGCCGGGGGTATTACCCCAATCTTTTCGCTGTTGTCGGCGTGGAAGAAGGCCACGCTCACATCATATCTTCCGATCAGCTTCTTGCTCTTGCTCTCACCGGGCCTCGCTGTGGCTGCGTGCGAAATCACAGCTCGATGCACTCGAATGGGAGGCGTTCCCATCGACTCCTGACTCCAGGCTTCCCTTCGATCTCCTTCTCGGTGTCGATCCACCTGGATTTCACCAGTCTGAGCCCCTTCGCCTTGGCTTCATCATATGTGATGTCGCCTTTGACTCCAAAGGACTCCATCTTGGTCATCTCTTTCATCCTCCCGATCTTCACCTTCTCGGGGTCCAGCAACTTTCCAGTCTTCTCATCGTAGACCGGTTTCTCGAGCTCCTTCGCTGCTGATGCGATCATTCTGTCACTGATCACCATGGCCGCCACGTGCATTGTTGGCAATCCTGCCACCATTTCTTCTTCAACCTCCTCCGTTTTGCCTTCCGCTTCACGCTTTCTGCTAGGGGACCTTGGGCTGTCTGAGGCCCGAGCAGGTTCCGAGGTCCTGGCCTCCTTGAGGGGGCTGTCGCTAAGGTCCAACCCACCTCGCTTTCTTTCACTCGGGGCGCCAGAACCGGCAGCCACCGAGCCAGACCCAGAGGCGCGACTACCCGCGGCCTCTGAACTTGCCTGCTTATCCGAGGGGCCAGGGCCGGCACCCATCGGATCATCCCCTCCATTGCTTGATGGCTCAACTGTGTCGTCCCCGGGCGCTGTTTCCGCAACCACAGGTGCCCTGCACAGCTTTTCAAACCTGGCTCTGCACGTGGCATTGTGCTTGACTGGGGCGTCACCGTAAGAGGTATCGCACCCAGGGCAGCCTGGTGTCCTACCATGCTTGATCTGTCTTTCAACCGTGATGTACACACCACGAGGTTTAGGCACTACACCCTCCAACCTTCCAGCTGGCAAGGGTCTTCCCGGAGCATCGGGGGTCCTTTCTGGCGTGCCTCGAGGCTGCCAAGGTGCGCCTACCATCCTCAGAACAAACGTGGGGTCAAAGCGCTTGGCCTCAACTCGCCTACGAACCGAGCGACACCTCTGGATGCCGTTGGCTGTTGCCACGAAGTGCTCATCGTTGCTCAAACTTTTGCCTAGCCAAACCCCACATGACCAACGATCCTCAAGCTTTCTTAAGTTCTGATTCGAAATACGGAACAGAACGACCTCTCCAAACTCAACAACTTCGCCCTTGTAGGTCCTACCCCGAAGCCTCTCGTAGGCTGTACGACCGTCATGCTTGATGCCATACCTTGTACAAAGCCATCCTGCGTGACGAACCATCCAAGGAAACACGAGCGAGTCCTCTGTGACCTTAATGGTGGGGTACCTTTGTTCAAAGGCTACCTTAAGGGTCCTGACTTGGTTGCTAAGTTCCAGCACAGCTCGCTCAGCTGCACCGTTGGCCTTGTGGTCTCCTTTGGGCACTGGTTGACTGCTTGCTTTCTTGGGGTACCTCTTAACAAGTTCTTCACCTAAACTTTTGATAGCTGGCTCAGTATCGCTAACAACTATCATGTCTGGGTGACCACAGAACTTCATCCCTTCTAGCGCAAAAGCCATGGAATACGGATCCCCGGCGCCCTTGCTGTTAGCTACACCCGTAAACAGAGCCCCTGACTTTTGGTCCCTGCAAACCAAAACGGCCTTGGCACCAGCTTTGGCCTCGAGGATGTCCTTGGCGTCAGTGGAAGCTGCTTCCTGGGACAAGGCTTTCGTGAAGAAGCAGTAGTCGATACAGTACCTTGCTACGTCCTCTTTCTTTTCTTCTTGGCGCCTTTGATGGAAGTCTTCGGTGCCCTTCCCCACCACGCAAGACTCACACCAACTCCGAAATGGAAGGTGTGTTAACTCGTGTTCAGCACGCATCTCAGCACTGACACTCGGGGGTACCTTCTTGTGCTTAGCCTTACGCCCGGCCTCTCCTTCAGGTTCAGGCGGCTCTTCCAGGGGAGCGTCGCCAAGAGGCCTCGCATCCACCTGGGCAGGTGGGGCGCTGTCAGCTACCTCCACTCCCGGGGCGCTATCCGCTACCTCCGGTCTGGCTTCCCGAGCTGTTGGAGCTGCGATCCTATGCCTTTCAGGGTTCTGGGGCTTACCCATAGTCGCTTCCAACCAGTAGACACCTTTATCCTTCACTAAAGGAACTTTTGGGACTTCCTTCAAAGCTTTCTTGAGTTGCTCACCACCACAGCGACCTACGAGGAATTGGTGCGAGGGCCCTACCACCAACCAGGTTCCCTTCTGACTGGCTTCTGACATGGAGATAACAGGAAACTGGACGCTGTTGCTTTCCCTGTAGTTAAACTCAACTGGCACATCCCCATGCTTGAGCGACGAAGTCTTGCACTTACCCAATTTCAAGGCTTCTCCCGTGACCGTGTTCATGCGGACCCTGTCACCTGCAACCTCAACGGCCTTGTTGTCAAAGCCAACCGGAGCCAAACCACCCCCAGCCCCCGTGTCTACAAGGATCCTACAGTGGGTTTCAGGGTTTGCTACAGTTGCAACACACAAGGTTGAGGCTGCTAGGCCTTCACTTTCGGGCTCCTCTTGGGGCTGCTGCAGCCGTCCTACCTTTGTTCTCGGCCTTTTTCAAGTCCGCGGCTCGCTTCCTGCACTCGGCCTTTGTGTGGCCGGGTTTCTGACAGTAGAAGCACGGGCCCTTCTTCTTGTCGCCCTTGCCTCCTTTGTCTCCACCCTTCTTTCCGCCAGCGTCCTTGCCGGTGCTCTTGCCCTTGTCGCCTTTTCCATCACCCTTGGCGCCCTTCGGGGAACCCTTATGCGGCTTCTTTGGTAGGCCTCCTACGTCCATCGGTTGAGGCGTGCTTTGCAAGTACTTCTGCGTGCGGGCAATCTCTATGATCTCCGCTCTCATCTTCTTCCAGGTGTCAAGCCTGGATGAGTGCCTAATGAGGTGCTCCTTGACCGTCTGGTCTTCCACTCCCAGAATGACAATCCCGATGACGGTTTCGTCGTCCACGTCCTTCCCAGACTGCTTCTCGTACTCCCTCACCTTGCGCTCAAAGGACTCGATGCAACTGACCAAATCCCCTTCGAACTTGTAGCGCAGGATCTCCAGGAGCAGACCCACATATCTGGAGTTGAGCTTCGGGTTGTACTCCAGGTAGAGCTGCCGATAGGCCTCGACACCTTCATTGTCCCCACAGTTGTGCAGCTTGTCCAGCGCACGTCCCCGGCAGAGCATCACCAGGACGTAGTAGAGCTGAGTCGACAGCCCTTGCTCCTCCTCAGTGAGAAGTCGGTTCCAAAGTTGGATTTCCGACGACTCGGCCTTCTGGAGTAAGGCTTGGTACCTCCTGTCCATCGCCCCCATGTAGCTCCGAAGGATGAAGACCCAGTCGTTGAAGGTTGCTGGATCTCCTTTAAACACCTCAGGCTTTCCGAGCCCTCTTGTGTCCACCAAGGGGAGCAGCCCAAAGACACCTCCCTGACCCGGCGCTGTAGCAGCAACCTGGGCCGGTGGGCTCACTGGTGCCTGAGCCACACTTGAACTGGCGGCCTGAGCTTCCCGTAGCTCCTGCAGCTGCTGGCCTTGCACCAGCATCTGCTGTTGCATTGCAGCCATGGCTTCACCTGACTGCTGCAACTGTGCCCGGAGCTCCTGGATCAAAGCCTCCATGGCGACCACCAAGAGAACGGTGATCACCGTCAGGATCCGACTCCTCGTCACCCTGGCCTTCGTCGTCCGCCTCGTCCTCGGTGAGAAGTGGCTGCCGCTTCTTTCTTCTATTCTTCTTTTCCTTCTTCTCCTCTTTCCTCAGACGAAGCGCACGGATCTGCCTCTTCACAGCCCGACTGGCTGCAAGGAGAGTTGGCTCACGCTGCTTCTTTGTTCGCTCGTCGCAAGTGTCGCAAGCCTCCGCAAACTCCCGGACGATGTGTTCTCCAACGGACCCAGGCGGGATAAGACCCGATTTGCGAAGTTCTGTCTTTCGAGCAGTCCTTTCACTGAAGCTAAGCCGGGGCCACTCTTCCCTCAACCTCTCGATCTTCGGGGTGATCCTCAGCCTGTACCGCTTCTTTGGTTTCGGCTTTGCCTGGGCTGTCCTCGTCACTAACTCCTCTGCTGCTTCGCTAAAGCCTTGGTGGCTTCTCCTCAACAAGGCCTTGTCCGATCTTCCTCCTCTCCTTTTCTTCTTGTTCGGCCTCTTCTTTGCCTTTGCCTGGATCTGCTGGTCCGGCTCACCAGCAGGGCGATCTCGTCCACGATCTCCTTGGGCTCTCTGGCCCTGCCTTTCAGACCTTGACCGGCCTGGTCCTTTCTTGCCCTTCTGGGCTCCTTTGCTGGGTTTGCCCCAGCCCTTGCCCGTGTTGACCACAGGCTGCCAGGGGTGCGCAGGGCGCAACCACCTGGCTGCAAGGGGTGCCTCGAAGGCAACCTCCTTGTCCGAGCAGCTCCCTGGGTCAGAGCCGCTCCGCTACCATGCAAAAGCAGGCGCGGGCTGAAGAGGACTTATGAACCGTTAACAACCACACTAGCACACAGACCTTTTGAACTGCTGTCACTGGTCTGAGCTTGGCTGGGAAAGGGGCTGCGAATGCAGCACTGTCATCTTCCTGCATGCACACATGCAAGGCTGTCTTGAATAGGCTTCTACTCTTGACATAAACCCTAAACCCCAAACCCTAAACCCTAAACCCTAAACCCCCTTCCAAATTTCTGCCAGTTGAGTGACAGTGGCTGGAGCAGCTTCCGCGGCTTCCTCCACAGAGAGCAAAGCCGCAAATTCAAAGCCATCGGGATATGGGCTTTAGGGTTTAGGGTTTAGGGTTTAGGGTTTAGGGTTTAGGGTTTAGGGTTTAGGGTTTAGGGTTTAGGGTTTAGGGTGTGTGGGCTGGGCTTGTGGGCTTATGGGCTTTGGGTTTAGGGCTTCAGGGGATATGGGTTTACGGGTTCACGGGCTTAGGGCCAGTTTAGGGTTCAAGGGATTATGGGTTTTGGGGGTTTAGGGCTTAGGGTTCTTGAATCGCAGCAAGTCTTGTGGTTCGCACACCATAAACCCTCAACTTCTATGATCTCCTAAACTCCTAAATCCTGAACCCCGAAACCCCGCAAGCCCCTAAAACCCAAAACCCCTTAAAACCCAAAACCCCAAACCCCCAAACCCCGAAGCCCTTAACCCCTAAACCCTAAACCGTAAACCCTAAACCCTAAACCCTAAACCCTAGACCTCCAACCCCTAGACCCTGGACCGTCTGACTGGCCTGCCCTGGCTTCGCCGATGGGCCTCAAACTCAGAAAGCTTAGGGTTTAGGGTTTAGGGTTTAGGGTTTAGGGTTTAGGGTTTAGGGTTTAGGGTTTGGGGTTTAGGGTTTGGGGTTTGGGTTGAGGGTACGGGCTTGAGGCTTCATGTCACCCAGTTTTTAGAGGCCTGCAGGGAGACCCGTAATACAGAAACCCGTCATTGTAAGACAAGAGAACGGAGACCTGGCAAGGATCCAAACCCTAAACCCTAAACCCTAAACTCTAAACCCTAAACCCTAAACCCTAAAACCTAAACCCTAAACCCAAACCCTAAACCCTAAACCCTAAACCCTAAACCCTAAACCCTAACCCTAAACCCTAAACCCTAAACCCAAACCCTAAACCCTAAACCCCAAACTATAAGCCCTAAACCCCAAACCCCTGAACCTCCGCAACCCGTAAGACATGAAAGATCCTCGGCAGCCAGATGTGGACTTGTTTAGGGTTTAGGGTTTAGGGTTGAGGGTTGAGGGTTTAGGGTTTAGGGTTTAGGGTTTAGGGTTTAGGGCTTAGGGCTTAGGGCTTAGGGTTTAGGGTTTAGGGTTTAGGGTTTAGGGTTTAGGGTTTAGGGTTTAGGGTTTAGGGTTTAGGGTTTAGAAGGTTATGAGTTTGGAAACTCTACTTCTACTTGATACCCCTACTGTACCTACTTATAATCACGCCTTAAAAACCTCCAGGTAGGGATCCTGAAGCTTTAGGGCTATCCGGGCCTTACGGACTTCGGGACCCTGTTAGGGTTTAGGGTTTAGGGTTTAGGGTTTAGGGTTTAGGGTTTAGGGTTTAGGGTTTAGGGTTTAGGGTTTTTTTTTCTGGTTTAGGGTTTAGGGTTTAGGGTTTAGGTTTTAGGGTTTAGGGTTTAGGGTTTAGGGTTTAGGGAGCCCCCTAAGTCCTAAACCGCAAACCCTACACCCTAAGCCCTAAACCCCTAAATTCTACACACTCAGAGAGGTGCAACTTCGGCTGAATGCCGGCCTCCCTCAAACCCGAAGAAACCAAAACCCAAAAGCCCTATAAAACCCAAAAGCCCGAAAGAACAATACACTCTAAAGCCTACACCCTAAAACCCCTAAACCCAACACCTAAAAACCCTAAAGACCCTAATTAATAAAAGCCGGATAGAAACCTTAAAACCTTATGACAAAGAACCTCAAAAAAAAACCAACTGTAAAACCAAAAAGTCCTGAAAACCCTAAAAAACCCTAACCCTAACAACATCTAGAAACCCGAGAAACCGAAAAAAAAAAACAAACTAAACACTACAAACCCTAACAGCCCTAAAACCCTCCCCAAAAGCGCTGCGAAAAGCAAAAAAACTAACAACCCCCAAAACCGCACAAAACCCCAAAATCCTAGAAACCCTGAACACCAGGCTCGCCGGCTCTCCGCAGAACTGGGGCTGAACAGTTCGCCCGCCGCACCGCCCTCAGAGCTTCAGGGGCGCCAAGGGTTTGGGGTTTAGGGTTTAGGGTTTAGGGTTTAGGGTATAGGGTTTAGGGTTTAGGATTTAGGGTTTAGGGTTGAGGGTTTAGGGTTTTATGGTATAGGGTTTAGGGTTTGAGGGAACTCCAGCCCTGTTGAGGGCTCCGGGTAGGGTAAACCTTGGGCTTTGCACAGTGGGAGCTCTGATTTTTCGCTGAGGGGAGTTCCCCCTACTACCACAAGATGGTCATCTCTCAACATGATGGTCCCTTTATGGGTACCCTAAATAAGAGGGGCCGCCTTGCAATAAGGACCCCAAAAGGGACCATATTTTAGAGTAGTGACCAGATGAATCTCGGCAGCAGCTGCACAGACATGCACTGGTCGTCGTTGTCGCTGTCGTAGTCCCAATATTCGGTAGCTATAGAGGGCATAGTAATGAGAATGATAGCAGCTTGATAACCGAGCCCGGAACACAAAAAAGTGCCTAAACCCTAAACCCCAAAACCCTAAACCCTAAACCCAAGTAGACCGGGGGCCCGGCTTCGTCTGCCATGCGCCCCACCCTCTCTAACCCTCGCGGACTTTCAGGATTCCTGGGTGGGTGGAATTTTGGTTTGTGTTCGGAGGCGCAGTTGGCGTTTTTCTAGCGTTTCGCGGCTTCTTCTGGGATGGCTTGCACGGTTTTGTGAAGGTTTCTGAAGGCTTGTTAGGGCTTGTTGGGGTTGCTTTTCTGCTTGGGGAGGCATGGAGTTCTCGGGGTTTAAGTTATGCGCTGTTGGATTCCTTTGTGGGGGTCCTGGTTTCGGGTCTGTGGTTTTGGGGTTATTTGTTTCATTGTTTTTTTGCTTTCTCTTTGGGGGAGGGGAGGGGCAAATTCCAAACCCTAAGCGCTGTTGAGCCTTGGGGTCGGGCTTATTGACCCCTCCTCCATCCTCGCGTTTGCTTCTTGTGCTGATTTTGTTTTCCTCAAATTCGAGCTTTGGAGCGGGGACTTCTTGGTGGTTCCTACAATTAAACTTCTTGTCGACATGTTCTCAGCCCTAAACCCTAAGCCCTAAACGTTAGGCCCCTAAACCCTAAACCCTAAACCCTAAACCCTAAACCCTAAACCCTTAAGGACCTTAAGGGGATGGGGTACCAACCCCCCCGCCCGATTTTGGGAGATGCCCATGTTCTTTGCTTCCTCCTTGTTGGAAAGGGGCCTTGAGCCGAATTGCATGGGTTTAGGGTTTAGGGTTTAGGGTTTAGGGTTTAGGGCTTAGGGTTTAGGGTTTAGGGTTTAGGGTTTAGGGTTTAGGGTTTAGGGTTTGGGGTTTAGGGTTTAGGGTTTAGGGTTTAGGGTTTAGGGTTTAGGGTTTAGGGTTTAGGGTTTAGGGTTTAGGGTTTAGGGTCCGCGAACATCTTTAACTCGAGGCATTTGGGCTTTGAAGGTGTGGGGTTTAGGGCTTAGGGTTTAGGGTTCAGGGTTCAGGGTTTAGGGCGTAGGGTTTAGGGTTTAGGGTTTAGGGTTTTTGAACAAGACGGTAGCGCATGCCCAAAAGTCCACACTGTCCCTGTCCAAGGGACAGTGTGGACTTTTGGGCATGCGCTCCCCTGCGATACTGGGAGTATTAGAGAACCTTGGGTTATATACCCCCCCTTGAACCTCCCTCCCCTAAGAACCCTACAACTGGGGCGAGGTTGCGGCGTAGGGTTTTGCGGAACCCTGTAGCCCTGAAACCCTCTAAGCCCCTTTAAGGCAACCCCAACACCCCTAAAAGCTGTAAAGCCATAAAAACTTGGGGATGTTCTCCCATATACTAACAATCCTGAATAGGTCTAAAACAGGGGGGGTACTAATTATTCTCCCTCTTAACCACTTTTAGTTCAAGGGGAACATCCCCAACCAAAGCCCGAAA